TTGACCCTACTACAATACAATGAATAACATGGGCTGTAAACATTATTGTGTACACCTAGGCAATGCTGCCAAGGTTGCTCACTATCCTTTCTTGTCAGTTCAGACAAATAATTACTGCATTCTGTGTTTAAATTATGTAACAGATTGGTTTTTAAAATATATTTAACCGCAGTAAAAATCATTTTACTCACTCTGAGCTTTGTCATCAGAACAAAGACAGAGCAGTTTTGTCTTGATGACTCTGCCTGTGCTGGGCTGAGTTCTAAATGTGGTCCTCAGTTTTTGTCATATACTCACAGACTCCAAATTATTTCTCTCCACTTTGGACTCTAATGGAAGAAAAATGGCCAAAAAATGATCTTCAAAAGTATGACAAAAAGACATTTTAGCATTAAACTAATAAAACTGACATGCTAAGAGACACCTATGGCTTCTGACTATGGCTAATGCATAGATTTCTTTACAGTTTCCATTTGCATGAAAGGTGACATTAAAAAAATCCAGTGTATCCATGTGCAAGTCACAAGCAGGTCTCAAGCTTTAACCTCAGTCTAGTCACCAGAAGAAAATGTTAGCATTGTTCATTTCTGCAAACCAGGAAGACGTTACATTTACACATGTTTTTATCAATGTTTCAAAAGTGACCTTGTATATGAGATGACTTTGACATTGGGATGTGGAGGGGATGGTAGATGGGGAGACACCTACCAAGCTGCAGACAATTGTTGACTGCCTTTCACAGCTAGCAAACAACAAAACTGGTTGTTGTTGTTTGTCATTGCTGCATCTTCCTGCAGCTTTTTAACCACCGAACATGGGCCATTTTACTAATCATTTTACAACAGTTACTGTTTTTCCAATGGGGAAAAACAGCCATGAAAAGCAGTTGTTTTTCAACCAAGACATTATAACATGTTCAGCGAGGATGGTGCTACAGAAGTCGATTTTTTTACTGAGACATTAGTGCATTTCCTGCCAGTATAGTTGCATGAAAAGCAGTTGTTTTTTTACAGAGACTTTGCTGCGTTTCCTGGTATGGTTGACGTGGTGTTATGTTTGGGCACATAACCTACTTGTTCACACTTGGGAAAAAATCATGTTTTGGCTTAAAATACCAAGTTCAATCAGAAACAAAAAAATAATATAAAAAAATTATATTCTTATATTTGGCGGTATGGCTCTGTTCAGTCAGACACAACATGAAAAGGAGGAGCTGGGGTGGAGGCAGGTTGCAAAGCGGCTTGCAGAGAAAGCAGCAACAGTAGGCAGGCCAGAGCATTTTAAATAGAGCGCCCTGAATGAGATTTGCCAATTGGTTGCATAGAAAAGAATCATGTGATCTATCAGCTGACTCCTTTACATCAGTCAGCTGCTCCATCGGTTGATTGGGCTGTTTGAGATCAGTTGATGTAGCTGGGATGTGAGCTGAGCTTGACATTGTGTCCTGCCTGAACTAATGCTATGCTCAATTTCTGGTGGCACAATCCTCACTGGAAAAATAGCAACCAGCTGCTGAAAAACAACCAGTTGTGTTGTTTGTTGGTCTGAAACAGTGGTCTGCAGCTTGACAGGCATCTCACCCAGGTGTCACGCTATATCCACATCCCGATGACAAAGTCAGTACATATAAAACAATACTTTAGAAATGTTGATATATGTATAAAACATACAAATGTAACATATCCATGGTTTGCAGAAATTTACAATGCCAACATTTTCTTCTAGCAACTGAGCTGGGATGGATGGTAGAGATAGGAAAGATTTCCATAATTCACGTCATCTAAAGCTGGTTGTGTGAGGGTTAAAATATACTGTAAATTGACCATATAGCATGAAATCTGTGTCTAATTAACTTGGATGATGGACTTTGCCTGACATATAGGCACTGTATCATTAAGTCCCAAGATGGATACCCTATATCAGGCCTTTTAGACAAATCAAGCCTCCTGGTTGTAATTACAGCTTGAAGTGCAAGTCTTCAAGTCAGATGCTGGTAATTGCAGTAACGCTTATATGACAGGAATACATCATTAGGCTAAGGCTTTAATGCTGTGAATGGGTTTTGCTTCATGCAATTTTTGTGAAGCGATTTGAGTGCAGTGATTACTCTTGTCTTGAGTATTTTTGCCTCCTACTTTTTTGTCCCACGATGGACTATTTTACATACAAATACACGTATTTGGACACTCTGTGACAGAGTGGAGTATAACAATTTAAAGTTTGTCTAACAAGGAGGGAGATGTCAATCAAAAACCCACACGATCCTGAGAGGAGATCTAATTAGCAAGCTGTGTGGGTGTGCACTGAGCGCATTGAGGTTTTTAATTGTTCTGGGGTTTTGTTGCTTAAAATTTAATAGTGTAACATGTTGAAGCATCTAAGCCGAAATAATCACTTAAAATATTGAATAACTTTGCCTACTATAGGGTCAGTTTTCTATGTGTCAGACAGACAGCTGTGCATGTGTCAAAAAGTCCTGTTACATGTAATTAGTGTTGGGGTAGACACAGCAGTGGTGCTAACATGTCCTGCATATATATCAAATTCTCACCATTCTCTGTTTTCATCATGAAGTACTAGTGCAGGCAGGTCTATGCTGGATTCCTCCCACATGGACAAAATAAACTGCTACTGAGAAGACACACATGTTTCATCTCCTGTGTTTACTACAGTATGCTCAGCAGCTCTGGATCATAACACCTCTTAGGAAATGAAAAAAGAGTGAGAAGTGTATTATATTAACCACAGAGCTATTAGATCATAGTAGAGTGTAACCTACACTACAGACATTATTTGTGTCCACCCACACTGCAGTGGCCACTGTAATGGAGTGGCACATTGCTTCCACTGAATGTACATTAGTTCACACTGCCAGTAGGTTCATACTGTTCAATACTGTGCTGCAGTGATACTCAACCTGCTGCCCGTGGGCCAAATATGGCCCATGACTGCACCAGGTGGCCCCCCAACCACTTTCTAATTCACAGTGAAAATTAAAAATGCATAACGTTAATTTAAATAAGGTGCCAGTGTGAATAAAAAGCATCAAAATAGAGCTTGTTTATTAAAAAAAGTGCCAGAGGGGATCACCCTGACCCCAACAGAGTCCAGTCTAAGCCCCAAATGTCCTCACATCCAAGGAATGCCCCTGTGTACACCTGACCTGTGCACGGCTTTTGCGCCTGGCCACCTATCAGTTTGCAAAAGTGGCCTCCAGGCAAAGCAAGTTGAGTATCGTACTGATCTGATTGGTCTGATCTGAGGGTCAGGGGCGAAAAACTTAGATAAAAAGACACCACCTGCATGCTGTGGGGCACCAGTGCACAGGCTTGTTTAATCCACTTTAAGGCCACCCATTAGCACACTGCCTCTTGTCTTCTTCACTGAATGGTACTCCGAAGAGCACTGCATCACATTTTCCCCACTGGAGGGGCACCTCGGGGGCATGTTATGGTGTTTTCTCTTTTAGAAGGTAGGGGGTAACAATACATTGATCTGGACTGATATATCGATTCAGTGATAAATGATCCAATTTTATTGATGCAAAGTGAAAACACTGAAGTATTCTGTCATCTCTACTAGAAGGGCACATTTTCTCCGCAAAAGGGCGCCCTAGAGGGCACTGTATCTTCTTCTCCCCACTGGAAGGGCACTTCATCCTATTTTCTCCACTGGAAGGGCATCTTAGAGCACACCTCATCTTGTTTTCTCCACTGAAACAGCACCTGAGAGGGCTGCAAGGGCACCTTGGAGGGCACTGCATCTTTCTCCTCACCATTAAAAGAGCACCCTAAATGGCACTACCTCTCATTTTCTCCACCAAAAGGGCACCCTTGAGCAGATCATGTGAGCGGAGCAGGTGAAAATTTCCGCTCCTCGCTCGCAGACCTGTCACTTTGCGCCGCTCGTCCGCTCCGCTTGGTTCTGCGCATCCTTTGCTCCGCTCTGCTCTATCATAAATTTTATCCCGCTCCACTCGCTCACCACCCCCACAAAAAAACTGCGTCTTACTACCCTAACCTGTAATCTTCTATTCACAAATAAAACGGGGTCTGCCCATTTTTCCGACATCCCATTGTTCCGACCATATTAAACCCATTGTTCCGAAGTCCCGTTGTTCCGAAATCATCATGATGCCCTGTGGTTAAGGTCTGGTTAGGGTTAGGAAAAGATCATGGTGTGGGTTAAAATGAAAAAGAAAGTGACAAACACATAAGCAGTGAGCCTGCTACGCCTCAAGCCTTTCCCAGCTGACCCAGAGCCAGTCGCAGCGCACCATCAAGGTAGAAATACGCCCATCGGGAGCCGTTCAGCCCCGCAGAGAGCTCCCCACACAACCCCGACCCCAGAATTAATAACAGGAGGTTATGGTGTTTCATTCTCTTCTCTCTATGACACTTGTATCTTGACCAGTAGCCTACTTTTGTTGCGTTGCTGATCCTCTATGATACACAAATACAGTAATAATCACATATCGGAACAACGGGATGTCGGACTAATGAGAGGTCGGAACAATGTGGCACCAATAAAACATGAGCTTGGTAGATTCTCCGGGGAAGTCCTATCCCTGCAGTTAGGGACCGTTCTACATGGTACCGCTGGCAGGGTGGAAATAAGTCAAAGTGTAGAGGAGATGGACCAGGTTAAACGGGCCGACCTCCGAAGCTCTCTCGCCTCTTCCCGCAGTTTTTTAGAGCATGGGGGCACCCCTCCCCCCTCTGAGTCCACCAGTGCTCCTCACTGCCTTGTGTCACTTAATTATTGTTTTTATGGCAACATTTACATGTCAGAGGGGATAATGTGTGCTTTGTTATGCTTCTATCAACAAAGAAATGAAGTAAAGTAGCAAATTATTTCACTGTTGAATAAATGAGCTGACTGTGGGCAGTGTTGAGAGGGAGGGAGGGAGGGAGAGAGAGAGAGCTCCAGTTTTCCTCTGATTTAAATGTTCCTCCTCTTCCTCTCCTGCTCCTGTTCTTCACCGTGTTCACTCACTGGGGAAATCACAGCTGATGGAGAAACACACACAGCACCTTCACACTGAGGATGCAGGGATCTTCTTCTTCTTTTCTCTCTTCACTTTAATCTGAGGTTAAGAAGTGTTGCTTTTTTCTTCTTCTTTTTCATTTCTTCGCCTCGCCGCAGCATGAGCGCTGAATGCAGCAGTTACTACAGCGCTGACGGTGTCTTTGTGGAAGGATTCTCGTGCCCCAGACCGGGCAACGCTGTTGCTGCTGTGTACTGCTGCGGATTTAACGATGTCAAGTACTGCTGTGATGATCCCAACAGTTTCTTTCCGTATGAGTATGGATACATGTGGTGGCTGAGGTAAGGGCAATTTCTACTCGTCATTCATTTTCTTTACTTAATCTGTCACTTATTCTGAATTTGATCTACAGGTATTCTAAAGATGCTGCAGCTCTACAATGATCAACAGTTGAGCTCATCACTTACGCGTTATCCAGAAACGTGTGCAGCAGCAGCAGCAGCAGCAGCAGCTGTAAACCTCGACTCACTTGTTAGATAAATTCTTTTATGACTGAGCTGGACTTTCCAAAAGCCAATTTTGTCAGCCCTGAAGCGCTTTGTATCCCAGCTACTATATTTTTCCATTTTATGCTCATGTGTGATTTCAGTTTTTTTTCTTATTTTTATTTGATAACATTTTAATAGTTATCTGTTTGTCTATTTGTTGTTTCCTGTTGTTTTGTACAGGTTTATTAATTTTCTTCAGAAGTGTTTTTGTAAATTTCTGTGAAATGATACGTCCTAGACAAATGAAATTTTCACCAGTGAATGGAAGTTGTGACCAAATGCTGCTCAATAAATATGAGCCCAATCGGCCTGATGGGGGCGCTATATTTAAAAGTTTGAAAATGTATACCACCTATGCCATAAGTCTGATTTACACAAAACTTGGTGCAGACATTCATCCATGTAAACTTTACAAATTTGCCTCAAGAACCACTAAAGTGCATCTGACAGCCATTTTGATTTTTTTGTAAAACACATTTGATATCTTGTAAACCTTAGATCTGATTTGTACCAACTTTTCATTATAAAAAGTTGCATAAAACTAGTTGATATTTCGTTCTGAAAATATTGACCAATGAACTTCAAAGGGGCGTGGCTCAGCACATTGTCATGAACAACACATTCTCACTTGGACCTCGTCACACATTGACGTTTAGTCATGGACTTTCCACGTCCAGATACCACGTGCAAGGTACCCGGGGTGTGTTGGTTGTTGATGTTCTGGGACACCGTGTCAAGTTCTGCCTGTTACATGCATTGTCTTCTTTCAAAATAAACTTCTGTTTTCACAGGAAATTTAACATTTACATACAGTCTCTTTCAAAATAAACACACTACATCAGTGCAACAATGCAAATTGACATTTTTTTTCCTCCAACAACTAAACGCACATGGTTAGGTTCAGGCAACAAAAACACGTGGTTTGCTTTAGGAAAAAAGAACAGGGTTTGGCTATAGAATCTTACAGACCGCTCGGGTAAAAGTCGATGTTTGTTGGACCCATCCACCACCCTCCCACCTGCTCAACACAGACTTTCTCCACCATAACTTTCATTCTTGTCCTGCCATGTTACCCCTATGAGGAAGTAAAACGGCCATCAGCTGCGTATCATGCAGACATAAACAACGGCTTTTTTTTTGTCTGACGCCGCAAGTCACTGCCCAAGCGCCGGATTTCGACAACTCAGGAGTGAGACCGGGTTGTCATAAAACTTACAGAATAAGTCCACACAAGTACCTGGAACATACCCTGAAAGTTTCATTCAAATCCACCTCTAGGGGACGCCTTAAATACACAAATGGGCGTGTTATGCCACGCCCATTTGTGTAACACAAGTTAGACTGTAAATAAGAAAGTGTTTGTCCAATCGTTACAAATCTCGCAGGATATTTGAATCATAACAATTTTGAGCCACATGTGTAAAATTATTTTGAAATCACTCAGTAGGGGGCACCATGAGTTGCAAACATGTACATGGGTCTGATTTTATTTGTGGATAAAGATAGTTTTTGCGTTCTTTGGAAATACCTTGCCATTATAAGAGTTGTTTAATTCATTTTTACTATACTTTAATGTAATAAATGCCACTTCAATTCCTCTACTGATTTCATAAACTTTCTATATTTGCTGGGGGGGTTCAAACCCTGGGGTGGGGAAGCCCTTCTTTGTGGAGTTTGCATGTTCTCCCCGTGTCAGTGTGGGTTTTCTCCAGGTACTCCAGCTTCCTCCTATGGTCCAAAGACATTCAGGTTAATTGGCGACTCTAAATTCTCCTCTCCTCTCCTCTCCTCTCCTCTCCTCTCCTCTCCTCTCAGTATCGGCGCTCTGGTTGGTCTGTCCATTGCAGCGGTGGTCCTCCTTGCCTTCCTCATCACTGTATGTGTCCTCTGCTACCTCTTTATCGCCACCAAACCCAGTCGTCTTGACAATGGCCTGCCCCTCAGAGCGCCAGGTTAGTGTGTGTGTAGGCTCTCTTAAGTGGAAGCTTAGGAATTAATTTCATTTGTACGCTTTCCTTCTGAAATCCTCAGAATCGGAGAACATTGCTGGAGTCAAGGTTTAAATGACTCCTTTTTGTTTTGTGCATTTGTCTTTGTGCTTTGCAGAAGGAGATCCCAGTGAGGGATCCAGTCATGTGAGAGTCACCTGTGTCTCTGGCCCGCAGGGATTCAGAAAACACTTCATGAGCCGAAAACTGGACTGCGATAACCAGCCGCCAGACCCCGAGCTCCTGTTCCAGAGATGTTTCACAGCTACCGTCACGGGCATGAAAGCGGAAACTCCTTCACAGGCCTCAGAGAGACTTCTTGTTAAAAAAAGGGACCAGCAGTCCAGGGATCAAGAGAGTCAGTAAATCTGGAGACAGACTGTGCTGCAAAGGGACGACTGGGATGCTTGGAGGAACAGCAGCTGACATAATGTGGTGTGCATGGAAGTAATTATCAAATAATGAGGAAAAAGAACAACCCTGAATTCTTTAGATCAAATATAAGTGTTCTCAGTCAAGGTGTTAAAAGCCTTGATTTAATTATTCCACACATTAAATTTCTCTCCTCCTGCATAAATAAGTGTTTCAACACCTAACAACAGTAACTGAGAGCTTATGGATGGAAATTAATTATCCACCATGTTCTCGGAAGAGAATGTTTATAAGTGGCCTCAAGAAAGCCAAAGACTTGTTGAATCATTATTATATATTAGGTCAACCCCTGGGGACGTAGGCCGAGTGTAGTGATCCAGGACGTACAGTTTTATGTGTGTCTAGGAAACATGCCGAAGATGTGGCTTATAGCAGGAAAAAGAGCCTGATACACCAAGACAACAGCAGAGTCTGGACAGCCTGGCTGTGAAGTCAGGGTGCTGTAGACTTGTAGCCACACCTGCTACATTTAACTCAGGGACTGAGAGATTTGTGGGAAAGATCTACAGTGTCATGAGACCTGAGAAATGACAGCGCTGGTTATATGTTTAAATGCTTAACAAGACTTATGTTTACGTTTTCCTGACCTCTTGCTGTCGTGCAAGCTTTGACTCAAGGTTAGGGTCGACATCTGTCTCCTACCAACAGTCAGAGCTGGGTTTTTTTTAAACCATGACCAATTTCAGTCAGAGACACATCAAGGAACTGATTTATTTATGATTTTTTGGGGGGTATTTTTGCTTTTAATTGACGGCTGTCAGTGAGGAGACGGACAGGAAACAAGCAGAGAGAGGGGTATTACAAAGAGCTGGAATCAAATGTAAGATGTTTTGGGCAGTTTTGTGATAAGCAGCTTACAGGAACAGTTCACCCTAAAATCAAAAAACATATTTTTCCTCTTACAATGTTTGGTGTGAGTTACAGAGTGTTGTGCTAGCTCACCTAGCACCACTGGGCTAGCTGTGGCCTTGTTGGAGTCACATAATGATGTTTGGTCATGGACTTTCCACTTCCACATACAACTTTCAAAATAAACTTCTGTTTTCACAGGGTATTTAACGTTTACATACAGTCTCTTTCAAAATAAACACACGTTCAACAACCAACAACAACCAATGTTCAAGGTTGGGTTTAGGCAACAAAAGCACGTGGTTAGGTTTTGGAAAAAAGAACAGGGTTTGGCTTTAGAATCTTACAGGACGCGAACACCGCTCTCTCGGGTGGAAGTTGGTGTTTGTTGGACCCATCCACCACCCCTCATTCCTGCCCCAGTTGGACTTTTGCTGCCTTAACGTTCGTTCTTGTCCCACCGTGTTTCCCCCTGACGCCGCTGGGTGCCGTTAAACTATAACGGCAACTGGCCACGTATCATGCCGACGTTTTAAGACAGCTTTTTTTGTTGGTTTCTGATGGCACAAGTCACTACCTAAGCGTTGGGTTTCGACGACTTTGGAGTGAGACCGGGCTCTCCAAAGCCGAGGAGCAGGAGCTGAAAACGCTCTATCACCCTTCGTCTTTAACCTGGACTCTGGAACAGTTGGAAGACCCAGACTAGCAGACCTGAGGGGCCTGTTTGGGCGGTACAGTGTGAGAAGCTCAGTAATATACTCTTATCATTGGGAGCCTTGTGTTTAATGTAATTGATTAAAAACTTTAAAATGGATTTTAAAAGAGATATGAGGCCAGTGCAGGAAAGCTAAAACAGGTGTGCTTTGTTTTGGTCAAAAGTCTAGCTGCTGAATTCTGAACATTAACGTTTACATCTTGCGCTGTCACAAGCACAAGCCTCTTGTCTCTAAGTAGATGCACACTTCCTTCTATGCGGTGCTGCTCAGTAGAAAGAAAATAGTTCCTACATGAAACTTCTCACGACAAGGTCTGTAGATAATCGGGTCATGATTTCTGTAAAGAGACATTGCTGTTGAGTTTTTCAAATGTATATTTTTGGCACTTTGAGCACCACAAGCTGAGTGCCATCTAGCTCCATAATATTGGAGAGAAGGCAGACATCTCTACAGCTGATACGTCCAATACTCAGCAGCTCACACCAAAACAATCTAGACTGATACATAGCACTACAGGTAAGAGGAACAATTTGTATTTTTGATTCTGGCGTGAACTGTTCCTTTAACTACTGACCGCTTTAAACACATGGTTATACATTGAGACTTGCTTTTTAATGGTGCTCTCAAGATAATCTGAGTCACAGCAAGGACGCTGCTGAGAGAATGAGAGGCCGTTTACACATGGCCGGCTATTTTCATAAACGGACATTTCACCGTCTCCGTTTTCAGAAAGATCTTCGTTTACACTTACCCGTGTATATATACACAATAGCATGCCAAACCTGTAGGTGGCAGTGTAACGAGAAGCTCAAGCCTTCCATGTATCCATTGTCACCATAGCAACATAAGTCGCACTTTTGACACAGGCGCAAGTTCCGGCGCATACTGTGACGTTGGGTGCCTATAACTCCGTTTATCTCCGTTTATCTCAGTTTACATGCAAACGCGCAACCGGAATTTTCCAAAATCTCCACTCTGGCCGGAGTTTTTAGAAAGACTCGTTTTCAGAGGAGAAATCTCCGTTTGCGTGTAAACGAAGGGCACAAACGAAGGAAGATGTCTCCCTTTATCAAAATCACCATGTACGTGTAAACGGCCTCTAACAAACACACCCGTACAAACTCAATCTTAATTAAATCAACAATACCAAAATTATAGCACATGAGTAGGAGGTCGGGGCGGAGGAGGGAGCTGCAGCAGCAGCTGGCAGCAGCAGCAGCAGCAGAGTAACAGTGATGGAAGCCAAGTCATAATGGTCCCTCTACACCTGCATGAATATGACTGGATGTTAACAGTCAGCTGATAGCCAGTGATTGTGCAGCAGAAGGAAGCAGCTGATACCAATCAGCTAACACAAGTGCTACTTCACCGCTCTGCCTGAACTAACGCAGTGCTTCAGTAGATTTAGTTACCTGAACTAACCAAATATTAGACCGCATTTGGACTGACTTCAGCTGTGCAAAAACCCAGTCTGGTAAAGCAGAGGGAGTGTCAGTGCCATTTTTTTCAACTGGGGAAAAATGCAGGGCTGTCTGGCAAAAAAGCCGAACCTGGCTCACGTTTTTAAATCAACTATACGCTGGCACGCATTCTTGGTTGATTACTTTGTAACGTAATATCATTGTTTTTTTTTTACTGTTTATGTCATGTTTATGGTGATAAAAGATAATATGACTGCCAGCCGGATCATCTCTGAGTTGTAAAATCTTGTCTGAGAGGATTATGTGCAGTGTTTGGGCATCTGATAAACCTTTGAACCAACACATCTGCTACTGAAACTAGACTTTCTTGATTGTATTTCACAGCTTACCTTAAAGAAAAACCCCAAATGACCACTGGTATATCAATCACTCACACCGTGTCACGTTGAATTTGTGAGGAAAATATTGTTTTTCTTGCATGCCTGCAGTGAACAAAGAATCCAAAAACTGCAGTCATAGGTGACCGCATTTAACAACAGTAAAACTTTATCAAAACCTCCATTCACAAACTCTCACACAACTCATGCAGTATAATCCAAGTCTCATTTTTTCAGTCTAATGCTCAGTGCTTCCCAAACAGACAGCTGTGTCTGACGGGAAGTTGAAGTAACGGTGAAACTTAAAATGCTCTCTTCACAGCCAGACTCCACTGACAAAAACAGGCAATTTTACCACACTGAATAAAGGAGCTGCATCAGATAGTTTGTTTGTGTTGTTGTGTGACTTCTGTGTTTCAAAGGGTTGGAATGGATTCAGCAAAGTCGGACAATAACGCAAACAAACTATCTGATTCAGGCAGAGGTAGACCAGCAGCTCCTGTGTTCAGCAGGCAAAAATTACTGTTTTGTCAATGGAGTCTGGCTGTGAGGAGAGCATAGGTAAGTTTCACTTTCACCTCAGTGAAGTGTTGCCTGTGTTGGATGTACTGAGCATACGACTGGATGAATGAGACATGGATTATGCTGCACGAGTCATGTGAGAATGTGTAAATAGATGTTTTGGTAGAGTTTGCTGTTTTTATGACTTCAGTTAATCAAGAATTTTCTCTGTTTTTGGATTCTTCATTCACCGCAGGCGTGTGAAAAAAACATTTTGTCACAAATTCAACCTAACATGGGGTGAGTGATTGATATACAAACAATCATTTGGTGGGTTAAGTATTCCTTTAAGCAGCAAGCCCTCAGTGATGCAGCCCCGTGCTTTTTAACACATGGTTATTTTTTGTCTCACACATAACTATTGAGTCGGCAGATGAGAAAAAAAGTACATGAATCATTCCTGTAACAGTCATATGGGGCAATGAAAGGCAATGAAAAATAACCTTACTTTTCAGCATGTTTTTACATAGCCGCTGCTCCCTGATAGCACAACGTATGTTACCAGCCTACCAGTACACACTGGTATACTTTGCATTTTCTTTCTGACCACTGTGCCACTGAGCTGAAGACATTTTTTCAGTCTCTGTCATTTATTGATACAAAACTAAAGGATACATTCATTGTTTTCTAAAGTCTGTCTTAAAATAATAAGGGCATTTTGAGAACGTTTGACCACAGATTGTGAAAATATCCTTTATAACATGTAAAGGGACAATTCACCCAAACTCCTCTTACCTGTTGAGCTATTTATCAGGCTAGATTGTCTTGATGTGAATTGCTGAGTGTTGGAAATTATCGGCCGTAGAGATATCCATGGCCAAAGATCCCCAACCTTGTTGTGAGCAGTTTCATGTAGGAACTTTTTCTACCGAACAACACCCGCCAATGGTATCACTGTGCAGAAGGAAGTGTGCATCTACTCATGAATGAGAGGCTCTTGGCTGTGCAAGATGTAAACATTAATGGCGTCCTCCCCGGCTGAGCTGCAACGTTAGCTAGCTCAGTGGTGCTAAGTGAGCTAGCAGAAGATGTATGCTTCCTTCTGAGCAGTAATACGGTTCATGGGTGTAGTTTGGTAGAAAGAAAATAGTTCCTGAAAATGCTCACATCAAGGTCCGTGGACTACCTTGTGTAACCAGGTCATGATTTCTGTAAAGAGACATTGATGTTGAGTTTTTCAAATGTATTGTTTGGCACTTTAAGCACCACAAGCTGAGTGCCATCTAGTTCCATTAGGCAGACATCTCCACAGCTGATATTTCCAACACTCGACAACTCACACCACAGCAACCTAGACTGATAAATAGCATGGCAGATGAAAGGAAAACTATGTATCTGATTTTATGGTGAACTGTCCCTTTAAGTGAGAAAATAACTGTAGAATAAGTTCTTATCTGTATCATCAAATTCACAGTACATGTGGATTCCTATTTCATACTCAAACACACCTCATAGTGAATGGCAGTATAACAATGCACAACTCATTATGCCGTTAAACGTTACACCAGCTGTGTAGCTTTTGTCTGAAGAGTTCTGATTGATTTACAGTGTTCCTGCATATAAAAAAGAGATCACGAAGCTTCATCACACAATGCACTGTAGCTGCTGGATTGTCATTTCCTTCACAAAACTTTAAAGTGCCCTTGTTTTTGTAGCTCAGAATGGTAGCTCAAGCATTTATAAATTCATGCAAAATGTCATGTCTTGTATTTGTGAATAAATTTTTGCTTGTGTAATTGATATACAGAAACCAACCTCAGTTTTGAATGTCAGCACTTGTGTTCTTTTTCCAGCAGTCTGATATTTTGTCTGTTAACTTGTGCTGCAAAAGTGAGCTCTGTACAGCAAACTAGAAACAGTCTCGTTGAGCAGTATGTTCCCATATGGAGTTATACAATTCTACAGACAAATAGATGCTGGCATTTTTTCTGAAATGTTTGGAGGGATGAAGTTTCTGTTGTTCTCATGCGCATCATGTTGATAAATTGAATTTCTCATTCGTAAATGTCAGCACAAAGGTGTGCATAGCATACATGTCAGCAAATGTATGAAGAAAACAAGACTGGGGGTTCATTTTATATTCCTCGTGGTATCCCGACATTTAATTGCAGTGTCTTGCAAACGCATTCCATGAATGTACATCGTGGTTTGTTGGCACAGTTCTTGAAAGAGCATCAATAAAATCTGAATCAAAGGCACAGCCTGATTATTATGCAGTGATGCTGCCCTTTTACTGATAGACTGCC